ACCTTGTATATATCGAGAAACTATGGTTACGCTCGTTGAATTTGACACTTTATGTCAGTTTAATCATATATTTTCGTACTTTTATGCCTAGGCGTTAAAATGACTTTTTATATTGTCAATCACGTCGCAAAAACTAATACATTTGTGACGTTTGGAAAAAGTTGTTTTTTTTCAAGGTCAAAAATAAAGCATTTTTATAAAAACTTTTCTGTAGGAATATATCAAATATTGCCGTATTGCTAAAGGAACCATTCAAATAAATAAATATGAGTGTTTCCCCGATTGTTACATAAAATTTTATATGAAGCAACGCGGATATATTTAAATAATATTATAATGAAAAACAAAAATTTTCATTAGACAAATATTGTTTTTTTTCTCGTCTAAAGTTTAATTTATATTAAATTACTTAAAATACTTATTTATTTAAAGAGTTTTTGCAAGATTTGCAAGAGTCTTGTAGCAAGACCAAAACCAAAACCGGGCCCTACAAGTCCAAGACCAAAACCAGGCCTACTTATTAGACTGCAAGACCAAGACCAAGATCAATGGAGTCTTGGTCTTTGTTTTGCATTTGCAAAATACTCCTTTACGTCTTTTCAACCGACAACATAATAAAAAAAACATTTCATCAAAAAACTTGAAAAATATATAAAAATCTGACTCACCTACAAATCTATTATATTGAAGAGAATAATCCAATACAGATAACCGGTGTCTCCAAAAAACCGAACGATAATGGAACCCGGCGAACGAAAGCTTCAAAACGAAAGAAAAATCACTGTTAAGCTGCGAAGATGTTAGAAAATGCGGTGTTCGCTGCACAAGATATTAAAGAACACAATTTGAGATCGACGGCGTCGGCCAAGCAGCATCTGTTAAGCGTCTTTACGTTTGACGTCATCGGGCGTCCAAAATTAGCGCCTTTATACCTCAATTCGCGGCATGAGGCCCGTCGCTTTTTCGAAATATTCAGAAACGAACAGGTTAAAATATGAAGGGGCGGCCTGCTGGCCAAATTTGGAATTTCCTTGTTTTGAAAACATTCCTTTGTCGGACGAGTAGGCTCGGCTTCTTCTATTGTCATTGTCAACTGAATTTCCCTGGTTCCTAAATATCTCCTCTGTTCAATATCTGGTTTAAAATTGCACTAGCATTTGCCTGCGACTTCGTTCGCGTTACACCTCGCATCTCTATACGTTATTATCAACAACATCGGAGAATTTAAAAACGTGTTTTACTTTTTCATCTTCTGACATGAATTATTTCTTTTTATTATTTTTTTTTCTGACTTTATTTTTTCATCTTCTAATAACCTTATGACAAACTTTGTTTGACTTGTTTCAACATTGTTTGAACTTAAGTGATGTGAAGATCATCGATATATTCATTTTTCTCCGAAGAGTAACCATAACTCCGATTCTGAATCTTTTACTTATAGAAGAGAGAAAATTGAATAATCAGTATCAGAAACGATAGAGACGTGGTATATGTCAACGGAGAAATGACAAAAAACAAGAATCTCATGACTGCAGATCCTATGTTAGCATGAACTGTATTTGACAAAGTTTGTTGAAAGTGCTGTTTTGCAGTTTGTTTGCAGTTTTATTGAAAATAATTTATGTTTATTACTTTAGCTTCACATTTCAGTTGTTTCTACTTTCTGTAATATCGGAAAATCATAAAATATATATGTTTTTAATTTCTGTGGGTTTCTTAACCAAGTTAAATTTCTGCTGTCAAACATTTCTAAAAAAATGCGTTTTACTTTATTTTTGTGTCGGTTCTCATTAATTAATTGAAAATGAATGAAATTGTATGTTCACAACATTGAATATATTTTAAACAGTGCTAAACTTTTTATAAAATCTCTTCATCATTTATTTTTGAACTGAAAAGAAGAGAGAAATTACAAAAAATCGGACCCCAGAACGAAGACCCCAGAACCAGTTGAGGGTGAAAAGTCAATTTTTTTACACTAGTGCAAAAAACACCTTGACATTTTTAATGACAAGTTAAAAAAAGAGAAAAAAAATTGTCAATTTTTGTAAAAATTTGTCAAATCCTGGAAGTTAGACCAAGTACTAGTGCTGGACACCTCGCAGCAACATTCCGGAAGAGAGTTTTAAGTGAAGAACAAGAAACCGAGACCTCTACGAGCAGAAATGAGAATAAAATTCAAAAGACTACTGGAAATGAAGTTTGTCCATCAATTACCTCAGTGAATTGTTCAAACTGCGACATTAAAATTAAAATCAACTCAAAAAAAGTTATTAAAAAAATAAAAATAATATTTGTTTATAGTGTCATTGTTAGTGGTAATATTATTCTGTGAATTACCTCAAAAAACTTTTTAAAAAACATTTAAATAAGAATTTCAATTCGATCGTAGAAAAAATGTTGTGTGCAACATGTGCAACAAATATGTTTTTTTGCACTAGTTAACAAATAAGCACACAAATAACTATGAAAATCTTGCTTGAGAGTGTGTCCTGGGGTTTTCCCATTTTCCCCACAGAATCTGCTTTCACCGTTGTTTCTCAGTTTCAATCTACTAAGGTATTCATTGAGGAGATAGTGTCCTGTAAAAACCCCGTGACAATCCGAAGATTGTTCTTACTTAAATCAACGAAAATCTTTGATTTTTCTCGGTCGTAAGTTCTGAAAAATTTCTTAGGGTGACTTAGACCGTTGGAGAATGCCCATTCCAGATTACGGATGGAGTCTTCCAGATTGTTAAGTTCTGCTTTAAGTTGGTTTCCAATTAGGAAGCAGAACGGTTCTGATACAGGTAGTGGAGTGTTGGATAATTACCTAGATTATTTGCTTTTTCATTAACCTTTATCCCTTGCTGGGCTGGCACCCAGAATAGGAGGACTTTATTTTCTTTGTCTAATTTGTTTAGCTTCTCTAGGCATTCTTTGAGCGACTTCGAATTGATGGTTACTGAGTTGATTGCTCTTACGGTTGCTTGACTATCGGATAAGATATTTCTTATATTTTTTATATATATTTATTTTAGTTTCTGTCTAAGATAAGTTGTACGCATCTTTCGATAGCGGAGATCTCTGCCTGAAGGAAGCTGGGGTAGGTGCCCATTAATTCGGAATATTTCATTTTCGACCTAAATACTCCTATCTCTGTTCCTGCTTTGGTTTTGGAAGCATCAGTATATCACGTTATGGTATGGTCCAACTGCTTAGCAAACGTTTCTCTCTTCCAATTCCTTTTGTTGTTCAATATTACAGAGAGGACAATTGATCTACTAAATTTTGATGGTCTCACAAGTTTCATAATTAGTTAGTTATGATTAAATTTTTATGATACCCAAACAACTATAGCAAATTAAAAAAATCAAATTTCTGCACTCGTGCAATAAAAACTTCAAAATATAAATCATTTGTATGCTGTAAAAGTTCTCAAATACATAATTTTTTTCTGTCTTGCCTTTCTCTTTATAATTGAGAAAGGTATGAATCACTTTTCGAACTTTATTTTTATTATCAGACAGCATATTTTTTATAGCAATTCTAGGAATGTCGGCTGCCACTTTTCGGATTTTTAAACACCAACAGGTTAATAGTTGAAAGGTTTGTGACTAAAATAAGCATTCCCTTGTTTTGAAACATCTGTTTGTTTGCAGTTATAAATAAGCGTTAAAATTAAATTAGGCGGCTTTGAGGAACTTACTGGTGGAGCCTTTGAGTTATAACGATATATAAATATACTATTTATAGAACATAGCTGGTTTTCATAACGTCAAGTCAAGATTACGTGTCAATTACAAATCTAAATGACTGACATATTTTATTAGCATAGAATAGCGGAAAAATACACCAGGAGTTCATTGTAAAATACTCGCTAAAATTTATTGCAGATCGTCAGATCTGATTTAATACTAAATTTAGAAAATATGTCAAAATTGTAGAGGGTCTACTAACAGTGTTTTGCAAGTCCAATATGAGCATATATAAAGAAAACAAGTTTAGATTTGAATGCTCAGCTTACCGCCAAAACTTACAATTGTTTTGAAGCGCATACGTTGTAGGGCGCTGCTATAGTGGTGGTTAAGGACAACCGCAAACAAGAACAGAAATAATTTTCTCTTATCAAAGTCAGTAAGTATCTTCCAAAATTATAAAATCTTTTAAAATTTTAAACCGCCCTCATTGAAAAAATACCGAAAAGTGTTTAAAGCGTCCATTTTCAAAGTCATTATTGCTATTTTGAGTTTAATTCAAATGTTATTTGCTCAAACCCATGATAATTATTGTGAAAAAGTGACATTAAAAACTTAAAAGCTGTATGAACTTTGCAGTTCACGCAAAAACCATCGTGGATCGTGGCATAACGTCGGTTTCCAATGTTTCGTAGGTATTTCATACATATGTCCTTTTATATAAAATAATGTTTCTTATATGCAACACACTGTATTTTATTTAAAATATTAAAAGAAAATAGTAATAAATTTGAATAAACAATATTTCGCGACATAATTCCGGAAAAAGCCGAACCGCTCCAAAATTATGAAAAGCTTTGGAGAGCGACCGTTGTAAGAATAGCGCCAAATAGTATTTATATTTTCCTTACAGGCACTTTCCAATATAAACTTGGTTTTTTTTTATCTATGAGTATGAGTCCAACAGACATTTAAAGGTGACTTAGACAAACTCGTTTGCAGAATTTGTCACTTGAAGATGCGCAGTTCTTTGCATTAGGCGATGATAAGACATTGCCAAAGTCTCTTATCACAAATTATCTGAAAAGATTGCAGAAGAATAGGCTAAAAACCACCTCTAATAAAAATCTAATCTAAATTAACATAGAAACGAGAATACTAATGCATTGTACGTTAAACGAAGAATTAAAGTATAATATACATATTTTATAAATAGTAGAAGGAGCTTCGTATAAGTGGATTATTTTCTTCTATATATGTTATATTTTTATTATAATACTTACAGTTATCGTAGAAGTTATCTTTGTTGATCGTCTTATACTCTCTCTAGGAGAAGTTGAAACTGTTGTTTGAGTTTTTGCAGTTGCAGCATGATGTGCTTCCATTCCAGATAGTAGCACTTGGGAACCTGTTAACACGTATTTATTATTAAATATACTACTATTACTATTCTAATTAACCAAGTTTTTTACCTATAAATTTATTTAAAAGTCCTCTAGCTGCGATATCTTCTTCCGAATCCCCTTCTTGGTATTCTTCAGTTTTCATTCTAGTAATTACATCCTCGGCTCCAGTTATTTTTGATGTGTTTGTTAAAAACGTTTCGCCAGTCCTGGACGTACTGCTTTGTCTCACATTAACTATGAAATAATTGAGGATTATGTTAAAATTCTCAAATAACAAACTATTCACGAGTTACGATAGATGTACTAGATTAAAAAATAACTTCAAGAGGCAAAAACAAACAAATTCTGACAAAATTAATTCTTTCAGTCAACGCTAAAACCACCAATAATTGTTCTTAATTCAACACAAAAATACCAAAGAAATATTTGAAGTAATTGTTCAGATTGGCTTTGAAACACCTTAAAAATTACTGTTTTATGAGTTTAGTTAAAACTTACCGGGTGATCCTTCTCTGCTGTCAGAGTCGCCTTGATTTTTGAAGCTGGAAGAACGCAATATCAAGCCTGCCTTTGGGTAGGTTGTTTGCTTCTCATTCTTCAAAGTCTCGACTGTAATTTATAAGAATATACATTTGTTTTGATTGATTAAAAAGCCCTACAAATGCATTGCAAACTAGCTCTCTTGTAACAGGAGATTATTAGTTGTATAAAAGACAAAGCAAAAAAAAACAAATAAGGAGAAAAAGCATTATCAAAAGTATAAAGGAATTAATTTTTACTAAAAAAAAAGGTAAAAATACAATTACTGATTTCAAAAATATATACTTTATAAGGTAGTTTTAAAAAATTAATATTTTAGTTTCTTAAACTATACAAATAATGTTGGACAATAATATATTCAATCCCATACAAATAGAAGGGGGTTATGGCTATAGGGCAGTACTAAAAAAAGTTTAATTTTATGGTTATCTCCAGAAACCCAAATATGTTAAAAATCTCCACTATAACATTGAATACAAGGCCTATCGAGAAAGTAAATAAATTTGAGTACTTGGGCATACCAAGCCAAACCAAACCTTCGAAGAATGGACATCATTAAAGGAAATTAGATATAACTTATACAGGGTGGTCCGAACTGTATTCCGGAAACTACGCCATCATATTCTACAGATAAAAATAAATAAAAAAGTTCGTATAATTGTATGTCCTAAAATGTTTAGTTTCGGAGATACAGGGTGCTGAAGTTTCATTTTTATTTCGATTTTTTCCAAATAATTTCTGAAGTACAGACAATATTTCGATGAAAATTGCTGTCTCGGAGTTTTTTGACATGAGAAATTTGATTTTGATATCAATATGCCTCCTATTTGTAGGTGGCACCACATACATGTGTTTTAACTGTTTTGAAGAGTAATAACTTTTCGTCCGTACCTGTATAAAACTAATCAGTAAAGAAATATAGATATACGAACTTTTTTACTTATTTTTATCTGCAGAATATGCTGTCGAAGTTTCCGGAATACAGTTCGGACCACCCTGTATATTATGAAAAAAAATGCATATCTGGGGCGTATATTGTGGAACAAGATGTATTCATGCATCTGTTGATAGTGTTGATCGAGGACAAGATGGCAGGAATTGGAAGGAAGAACATGTGTTAGCCGAGAAAATCAGACAGTAGACAGTGGAGTACAATAGACAGGAATAGGGAAGCAATGGAAAATGTTATCAGAACTATCCATTAGTAGATATGTATTAGAAGAAGAAGAAGTAGCTTTTTAGTTTCTTACATACCTGCATTTTCAATAAATTTCTCTGAAATGGTTTTTACAGAACTTCTCCTGTTTAATTTAGTACTTTTAGTTGTCGATTTCTCGTTTTTATCGCAAATTTCCTGAAAAATTATACAGTTTAATTGTAACGTAAAATAAAACAAATCAATGATCATTTACTTTTGTTCTTTTGCTGTCGGTAAGACTTTTCAGAGCAGGCGTGTCTTTGTATCCAAACTGTTGAGTGGTAGTAACACTGGCCACTTTACCGTTGGACAAAATCACACCTTCTTCATCCAAATCTTTTGGGTCGGTCGAATATTTCGTCACGCTTATCTGACCAACCGGTTCTTGACCATTTTCGGAATAATACTCGCTGGACACTACTGTTCCTTGAACTAAAATATTATTCATAGATTATATATTATGCAAAGGAACAAGCTGAAATTTTTAATAATGAACGCTGAACCTAAATTCAAAAGCTTTTCTAAAACAAAATATATTTGATATCCAATATATTGATATCCAACAAAAACTAGAGTAATGTACAACGAACTAGTAGTCAGAAAAACCATTCTAATAAATAATACAAAACTGGAAATAGTAGAAGAGTACATATATTTGAGACAACTAATACACACCCAAGCAGCATTTGGACGTCGGGACAACGTTGTGTCACGCGACCAAACGTTGGGGCGCAACGTCGGCACAACCTCGTGCCAACCCTAGTCTGCACTAGTTTGGAGAATAATTTTTGGGTGGAAACGACGTTGGATACCGACGTTGGCTAGAAGCCTAATTTAGTACAATCTGCAACGTTGTTTAAAATCCTAATTCACAGAAATACAAAACTAATATGGCGTCTAAGTCGCGTTTTATCCTAAATTGGGATAATTATAGTAAAAATATTATTTTTATGGTTTAGTTAGAGACATATGTCAGATGGCAGTGAAGAAAAACAAAACAAAAGTATTTAAGTGTGGAGGATGTTTGAAGATCATAATTATTGAAACACTTTAACCGACTCTGTAACTCGTTACCCAAGGCAAAAAAGTTAAGCGCAAACAACTTTATTGATAAATGTATTGTTTCTACTTTGAAAAATACTAATGGGCCTTAAAATTAAAGAAGTTTTAAAAATTTTTTTGAATTTTTTTTTAGTAAAATGAGAATAATTCATTCGCAGTCGAAAAAATTGTTTCCACGTGTTTTTTAGGGTCAAATATTTCAAGTTAATGTATTCAAAAAGCAGGAATTGCTATTTTAGAAACGAAACATTTTCTTATTTAACAACATGGCGGCTTGCACTTTGTTGTTTTGGAGATTAAGATGGAGTAGTTCGAGTAGTCGCATACTGGACTAATAAAGTCGCAGTTCGGCCTTAACAAGTAGTATACTAGTCGCAAGATTGCCTAATTTAGTCATCCTAGAGTCTAGCTTGTGCCGCCCTCTATAATCTAAATAAACGAGGGAGTGGATAAACTATCGGTAATATATGTCGATGTATATTTAAATTTAGTTTTATATGTACCTTTCTTATTTCCCATTTTAATTAAGTTTTTTTTTATAAAAACAAAAACAGCACTGAACTGTCTGACTGAACAGAACAATGAAGTGAAAATTTAAGATTTAAGGTTATGGTTCAATACAGTTGCAAAAAGGTAGTGACCCGACGTCCTACCAACGTAAGAATAAGGAAATCTAAACAACGTTGGAACTAGTAAAACAGACGACGTTTGCATAACGTTGGAATAGGTCCTGAAACTGACGTCGGAAAACTCTATATTGTCCAACGTTGTAGCTACGTTGCCCGAATCACCTAAAGATCACTTAAGCAAAAAGTTAGAAGACAACGTTTATTCGACGTCGCAGAAGCTTCTACTTTGCTGTAGTACAAGTCCAACGTCGGCACAACGTATATATATATATATATATATATATATATATATATATATATATATATATATATATATATATATATATATATATATATATATATATATATATATATATATATATATATATATATATATATATATATATATAAATATAAAATAAACGTTTAAATTTATTTTAATACCTAAGGTAGGAGCTAACTATTTTTTGTAACTAATCCAACGTTGTGTTTAGTAAACATGTGGTCGCAAGTCGTGAAAATGCTACTTGGGCAGCTCGGGATCTCTACTACCAGAAATCAACCGAAGAATTAAGTTAGAATAGGATTACATATGGAAGAAACTCAATCATATTCAAATCCAGAATGCCACTTTATCTAAAGAAGAAAACATTCGACCAATGTGTACTACCAGTCAAAAAAAAATCTCGTTATGATCGATCCAATGTTATTTGAATGAAGAATAGTTATGAAGAACAGAAATATCATTGCTATTCTATAGTACATCAACAGACCTACTAAACATATAAATGGGAAATGACGAGATGAGTAATGATGAGTAAATCTGTCTTACAGTTGATGCTGAGAATTCTAAAGACTAAAACAGTGTTATAATGAACTGAGACAATAGGTAAATGATTCTCACCTGTCTAATAAAAGATAGAATCAACTAACCTTTAGATTTAACATTCTTGTTTTGTGCTCTTAAAGCCTTTAGTCCAAACAATGGTGTTCCATTTTCATCTGTCGGTCCTACTCCATAACTTGATGTTATGATATCTGTCAATTTAACATCCTTTGCTGGACTGGTTCTTAAACTTGATTTCTTTGTTACCGTGCTACTAGAACTGACCTTCCTCGATGCGTTAGATGCGTTGGTTTCTTTGACGTTTTTCAGGTTTCTTTGCTTCACCCACTCCGGTTGGTTATCTTCTACTTGTTTCTTTGTAGTAGGAACCGTTTTCTTTAATGTAGTAAAAGTCTTAGATTCCGTGGTGGTAGTTGTAGTCACCCTCACACCTCCGGGAATTTCTTCTGTAGTTTTTGTCGTGGTTGTTTTGCCGGTAGGCGTTACTGCTACAGTTTTGGAGACCCTTCTTTCTGGACTTTGCCTTTGGGGAGATGTTCTTTCACGAACAGGACTGGAACTTTTCTTAATTACGTTTGAGGATTCGCTAGATCTTTGTTTTGTAGAACTGAACGAGTGATATTCGGATTTTTCGGTGGTGGATTTTCTAGTTATACTGTCTCTTTGATCAACTGAATATGTACGATCGGGACTCACACTTTTGCTCTTAGTAGGGCTTGAGCCCCGTCTTATTATCGATTTCCTATTTAAAATGAAAGTTTCAAATGTACCTTCAGTAATTAGTTTCTTTATTAAGCGTATTTGATTACGAATCTTCCTCCTTAATTCATAATTAACGACTTTTTCCAACTGAAAAAAACGAAATTTGTTAAATAATATATTTACTGAAAGACCCAAACAGTCTTACCAACTCCTCTAGAATTTCCAGATCAAAAATTTCTTCAATTTCTTCCTCAGTAATTGTTTTTTCAAAAACTGTACTACTGCTTCTTTGTTTTAAAGTACTAGATACATTATCGGTAGCTTTTGTATTTTTTTGAGAATCTGTTCTCCTTAAGGTGACACCAAATTTAGTTTGCCTGGAATCTGCCTGATCATATGTTTGAGATTGTCTGTTTACTAAAAAAAACAAATAATACTAAATAGACCTGTCATTTTTTTTTATCTTAGAAGTACTACCTTGATTAACACTGTCTCTATGTGGACTTTTCAGTCGTAAGCTTCTGTCCAATGGTTTCATATAATGCGGTGTATCATCCTCTGGAGATGTTTCGCGACTTCTAGGTTCCGTTGTAATTATTTCTGGAATTTTTTCAGGGGAGCTAGCTCTAAACCGGGTTATTTCAATTTTTTCAGGAGATTTTGGTCGTTCCGGTGATTTTTGTGGTGACTGCGATCTTCTTATTGTTGTTTCAACCAGTTTGGACGACCTTTCTATTTTTTCGGGTGATTTATAACGCTCCGGTGATTTCAATGGTGATTGTGATCTTCTTGTTGCTGTCTCAACTAGTTTGGATGATCGCAAGTTTTCTAAATAAACAAAACACCATTATTAAATATTTCCAAACTCTTTTAAAATGAAAAATAATACCTGATTCCTGAATAGAAGATTTCCTGATAGTTTCTTCACGATTTTTAATACTTGTAGATGTTGTCCTTGACTCATGCTTCTTCGTTCTTTCATCAAAAACTGATGGTCTTTTCAAAATATCTATTTGTTTTGGTTTGTTTTTTTCCACTCCACCATTCTCAAACAAAGCTTTAGCCCTTTTAATACTTTCTGTACTTCTAAGACGTCCACTCGTGCTCAAGATAGTTTTTCCATCTTCTGGAGATCCTACGCGAGGCACATCTCTGTTTTTAGTTCTGTAAATTTCGTCTGTTACTTCGGTAGTAGAAATACTTGCATACTGATCGGATTGTCTTCTAGTTGGTGTACTTCGACTTGGTGAAGGAGACTTCAATCTCTCGGGTGATACAGACGATGATCTACGAGTATAGGTTTGTTGTCTCTCAAAATGAACATCCTTAGTAGGTGATTTTCTATCAGGTTTAGTTTCTTCGTCGTTTGTTTTTGGTTTTATAGTGATTTTTAACAAACTTACAGGCTTTGTACTGTTAGCCAACTGCTCTGCAGTAGAAATGAATTTGGTAACTTTGTCTGAAACGCTTAATAAGCATTCATCTTCTTTCAGTTCGTCATCGACTTGGGATAAGTCTGGCCTTGTTCTTTTTGTAGCTTGGCTCGGCTGTTTCGATTTGTTAGATTCCTCTACGGAAGATTTAAATTCCTCCACTTTTTTCTGGATGTTTACATTAACCCCGTCATATATTTTAGAACTCGGTGTTCTTCCTGGAAGTTTTTGAGATGTGAGCTGCTCAGCTGTGCTAATAAACTTGCTGACTTTATCAGAAACACTCAAAAGGCATTCGTCGGATTTTAAATCGTCAGAAATCTCGACACTTATTCTGTTCACTTGTGGTGCTTTATTAACAGGTTCTTTCTTCGTTTTGTCAGCTGTACTCAGGAACTTATTAATTTTCTTATCAATACTGAGGAGACTTTCGTCAGTTTCTTCCACCTTGTCCACTTCAGATATTTTTTTCTTAATATCCGTAACTTCGGTTATCCTTGTAAAATCGTTCGTATCTTCCGATTCGAAAATTGGAATGTCAGATAATTTCTTAGGTTTTCTTCTTAAGCTTCCATCGTCCGGTTCACTTATTTGGTCAGGGTATCTTACAGGACTTACTTCTTCTTCTTCATCACTGGTTAAAGGTCTAGGACATAATCTATCAGGTGTAGGTTCTCTGGAAGATTTAGATCTTTGCAGGTTAACAACAAATTCACGATCTACAACATCTTCATCGGAAGCAAACGTTTTTGTAGTTGTTATACTCTCTCTTCGCAGTTGTTCATTAATTTGGCTTAGATAACTTTGATCGCTTGTCAGATCAATAAATGAGCCTTCAATACTTTCAACAGTTGAACTCTCTTCACTGTCAGAGGAAGCATCATCGGAAGGTTTAGATTTAGGGAATTTTGATTTAGGTTTATTTGTTGTTGTTTTAGGTTGCTGAGTTGGGGTTGATTTACTCTTAGGAATTGTTGTATCGGTTTTCTTGGTAGGTGTAGTTCCATTTACTGTTTTCCTTACAGTTGTAGTATATTTAGTTGTTATATTAGATTTCGTTACTGGGCTCTTTTCTTGTGGCTTTATATTGACAACTGCTTTTTTTGTAAGAGGTTGTCGAGTTGGCAACTCCTTTGGTTTACCTTTTGGAGTATCCCCATTTAGTAATATAGTTTTACTTACTTTCTTTTTAGTAACGGTGTCATCAACTCTATTTGTTCTCAAATGAACAGATTTATCTTCTTGCAAGTTTTCTTTTTCTATATCTTTTAAGGTCACTTTTGTTATAACCTTTGTCGTTTTGTTCAGAGGCTCCTTTTTGATTTTATTTGAAAATTTGTCTTGATATTCTGTTCCTCCAATAAACTTTGTTTTTTCTACTTTATATATTGTTTGGGGTTTCTTTTTAGGGGTGGATGCGTAGGAGATTGTTTTTGGTTCATTCTTTGTTACTTTAGTGGTAATTGACACAAATTCTGTCACCTTACTAGTTGGGGTCTTCTTAATAGTTGGTTTTTCCTTTGTAAAATCTTTATTAATATATTTGGTTGTATCGCTTGTAGTTTTTGTGACAATTTTTTTATCACCATTCAATAGTTTCTCCTGCTTCAAATTTTCGTTTGTTCGTCTGGAAACATTTTCAGTTGTTTTTCTTTGAGTTTTTTTCTCTTTATTATAAGTAGTTTCAATAACATCTGTTTCGTCTTCGGAAGTAGTATTGCTTTCTGGTTGTTTTCTTGTCTTATTCGTATCAGTAAATTTCTTGTCGGATATTATTACAGAAGATTTTTTTTCTGTTCTTTTTTCGGTAATTTTCTTAGTAGGTATTTTATTTTGGACTCTAGATTGTTTTTTCTCGTTATCCAATATCTCACTTTCAATCAGTTTTTGTGTCGCTTCTTTTTTGTTGATTGATTTTATTTCATCCCCTCTGCAAAGCTGACTAAATATTTTTCTCTCAACTACAGGCTCCTCAACAGGTTTTCTGGTTTCCAATGTCTGAAAGAATTTTTCTTCGACATCTTCATGAACCTCCTCATCGGTTGAAGATTTATCTTTTGATATGGTTTTACTTGGTATTTTCGATACTTTTGACACAGTGGGAATTTTCTCTTTAGGTGATTTTTTAGTTTGTAAAGGGAACTCGCTAAGAGTAGGAGCTGATGTTGTAGGAGTTCTTCTTTCTGGATATGGTTCCAAAGGTACCCTTTCTGGTGATTTTCTAACATGTGAGGGGAACTCACTAACGCTAGGTACAGATTTGGTAGGGGACTTTCTTTCTGGGTAAGGTTCCAAAGGTTCCCTTTCGGGAGATTTTCGTATCTGAGATGGGAACTCATTAATACTAGGTACTGACTTTGTAGATAACCTCTTTTCTGGAAACGGTTCCAAGGGTTCTCTTTCTGGAGATATTCTAATCTGTGAAGGAAACTCACTGACACTTGGCACTGATTTTTCTGAAGACTTTCTTTCCGGGTAAGGTTCCAAAGGTGCTCTTTCTGGGGATTTTCTCACTTGTGATGGAAACTCACTAACGCTCGGTACAGACTTGGTAGGAGACTTCCTTTCTGGATAAGGCTCCAAAGGTTCCCTTTCGGGAGATCTTCTTATCTGAGATGGGAACTCATTAATACTAGGAACTGATTTTGTAGGTAATTTCTTTTCTGGATAGGGTTCCAAGTATTCTCTTTCTGGAGATCTTCTAATCTGCGAAGGAAACTCACTGACACTTGGCACTGATTTGGTTGGAGACTTTTTTTCCGGGTAAGGTTCCAAAGATGTCCTTTCTGGGGATTTTCTGATCTGAGAAGGGAACTCATTAATAGTAGGCACCGACTTTGTAGGTGATTTTCTTTCTGGATAGGGTTCTAAAGGAATTCTATCAGGCGATCTTCTAATCTGTGACGGAAACTCGCTAACACTCGGAACTGACTTTGTAGGAGACTTTCTTTCAGGATACGGTTCCAAAGGTGCTTTTTCTGAAGATTTTCTGACTTGAGAAGGAAATTCACTCACATTAGGCACTGATTTAGTAGGAGATTTTCTTTCTGGGTAGGGTTCCAAAGGTACTTTCTCTGGAGACCGCCTGATTTGTGAAGGAAACTCACAAACACTTGGTACTGACTTTGTAGGAGATTTTCTTTCTGGGAAAGGTTCCAAAGGTTCTCTCTCTGGAGACCTTCTAACTTGCGAAGGGAACTCACTGACACCAGGTACTGACTTGGTAGGAGATTTCCTTTCTGGGTAAGGTTCCAAAGGTTCTTTTCCTGGCGATCTTCTAATCTGTGAAGGAAACTCGCTAACGCTTGGCACTGACTTTGTAGGAGATTTCCTTTCAGGGTATGGTTCTAAATGAGCTCTTTCTGGAGCTCTTCTGACCTGTGACGGAAATTCGCTAACGCTTGGTACTGACTTAGTAGGAGATTTTCTTTCTGGATAAGGGCCAAGTGGTTCTTTTTGTGGAGATTTTCTAACCTGAGAAGGAAATTCGCCAATTCCAGGCCCTTTCTTTGTAGGAGATTTTCTAACCGGAGACTCAGATTTTGGTTTTGATTTTGGGGATATTTTGCTTTCCGGATATGATTTCGATAAATCCTTTTGAGGCGATTTTCGCGTGTCTTTTGTTTCTGACGTAATTTTGTCATGTTTAGATGTTTCCTTAGTCGAGCTTGTTTTATTCCTGTACAACCTGTCTACCACATCATCACTGCTATATGTCCTAGTTGAGCTTTCCCTTAGGGAGCTTCTCTTTAAAGAATTCCTTTCCAAACTACTTCTACGGGTTTCTTGATTGTTATTTATTCCTAGGATTTCTTTGACTCGTTCCTCATATGTATCTGTTCTGACAAGTTTTGGCCTGTCAGAAGGAGTTGATTGCTTGGTTGGTGATCTTGGCGATTCCTTAACAGGTGACTTTTTCGTACTGGATAAGTCTGGTAATGGCGATGTAGGTGACCTTTCAGTAACTTTTTTAGTTTTTCTATTTATTTCTAGGGTACTGGGGCGTACAGTTTCAGTTGATTTTTTATCCACTGTATTAATATACATCGAATTGATCTTTGAATAATCTTCATCATTTTTGATATACTCAAAATCACTTGTAGTTGTGCCCGTTGGAGAAGGGCTTCGTGGTCTATATTTTTCCTTTGTTACCGTATTATAATTACTGGTATCTGTTTGGACGTGTGTCTTAGATCGTTTGGTAATTGTATCAGAATTATAATGTTCAGATTTTGTAGTTCTGGACACATCTCCATTTACAGTTTTCGGAGAAGTCTTAGTTGTTCTGTATGTAACAGTTTCGGTGCTAGAAAATTTGGTTGGTGTTTTTCTTGGGCTGGGCGATCTTCCACGATCAGGAGATAATCTATAAAAACAAAAAGTAAAATAATTATCTTTTATATGCAGATATTGAAAAAAAATCCTATATTGAACCTACCTTGAAGGATGCCTCATTTTTTCAGGGCTGCTCCTTAGTGAAGTGTTACTTCCAGTCCTAGGTGTACTTCTTCCAATTCTTTCTGGGGTAACTGACCGTAGTGATCGAGCAAAAGCATCGTGGGTAGGGCTGACTTCAACTGATATCTTCTTGTTGGTAAATTCACTACGATAAGTAGTATCGTATTGTCCTTCAGTAGGTGTGGGTTTCTGATCTAATTCTGATTTTCCAGGTTTAATTGGCTGACGCTTTTCTGGCTGTTTATATGGTGACTGTTCTACATTTTGAGGTTGCTTTGGAGCTTTGTATTGTTCTTGGGATTTCGGTTTGGTTGGAGCCTCTCCTACTGGTTCTCGGTGTTCTTGTCTGATATTTTGAGTATCAATTTCGTGTTGGCGTTCTGTTGAGATAAACTGATTGCTCGAAACTTTTTTAGATTCATTTACGTTTTGGTCTTGGTTGATATTGTGAGTTTTAGTTGTTTGGTAAATTACATCAGTTTTTTCTTGTGGAATTGATTCCGTTGTTACAGTTCGGGTTGTAGTAATTTTAGTAGATGTAGAAGTTGTATCCCCCGGCACAGAAGCTAAGTCAATCTCCTGTTGAGAAATTCTTTGTTTCTCGCTAACTTTAGAGTCTTGCTGTCTAGTTTCCTTAGAAGTTCTCGTTGATTGCTGACTGGTAATATTTCCTCTCCCACTAACTAAGTTGTTGTATTCGTTTACCTGTTTTACATTAATATCTACTGTACTTCCTGGCTCGATAACGTACTCTACCATTTTCCTGTCATCTCTAGTATTTCTAGTATCTCTAGTATCTCTAGTATCTCTAGTATCTCTAGTATCTCTAGAGCCGCTTGTCACATGACTACTACGTGATTGAACGTGTGAGCTACTTGAAGAAGCTTTCTGTTCTGAAACTTTTGTGGCACCAATATTGCTGTATTTTTTGTGGGTAGCTCTCTGTGTCGAATTCCCGTCTTTAGTTTCATAATGAGTAGTGGTAACTATTGTACCGTCAGCTAAAGTTTTTGTTTCTTGAGTTACCTACAAAAACAATAAGCATACAGTTAATCAAATATCTAAATAATTACTTGATATTCAAAAATCTTACCGTTGTTTTGCCTTCAAGGTAGCTTGGGTGTTTTTTCAAATCACTCGGAACATTTGTAGTGTACGTTTTTTGCGTTACAGATTTAAAATTATCCTCATTTATTGAATATGGTATTTGGCCCCTCGTTATAATTGTCGTTGATGAAGGTTGTTGAGTATCCTCAAACGAATTTTTGCTTTCCGAGACGTATTTTGAGGAAGATGAGGATTTAGTTGTTGAAGATCTGAAATTTGAATGCTCATCTCCGCCGCTAGCTTCTTGTTTTAGAACGGAACTGGAAGACGATCCTACTGCTTTAGTAAAGTTCTTATCATCTCCATCTTGGAAGACTGAAGTCTTTTCCTCTAATTTAGCAGAGTAATCCATTTTACCGTTGTCGATTTTTTCAGTGCCGCATGTTGAAGCGGTATGAGTAGCAATGTGGGTTTTCCCATCAGCACTTTTTTCGTTAGATGACGTTACTGACCACCCTTGATCTTGATGTTTTGCTGTAATTATAAAACTTGAGGAAATTGAATGAACATAAAGAAAGTTTTCTTACCAATTGTTTTACTGTAGTTATCTCTAGTAGGGCTTTCTGAATCCCTTACTTCTTTACTTTTCAATGTAACGTAACTTTGGTCAGTTAAGTTATCGGCGTGAGTGGTGGACATGTTAGTTTTTGATGAATTCTCGCTTGATCGCGCTGTTGTGGTACTACTACGAACTTCGCTAGTTACTTCTCCAGTATTATAGAAATCTTTCAGTCGATTTTCCCTTAATTTATACATGTGAGCCCTAATTTCTTTCTTTTTTCCAAAGTCGTCAGTTTCTTGCCACTGAAAGAATATTTTAACACAAAATAAGTTTCCTTATAATTATTAATTCTCTTAATAATATATATATGAGAACCTACAGGGTTTAGACATTATTACTTATTATGGATTTCAATGCTAATTAAATGATTTCTTTCATTATGACGTGTATTCTTAAAATATTAATTACGGATTTAGAATCATATTAGATGCAATTGCAAATGTTAAAAAAAATAAATGGTGGGTTAAATTATAGTTTAATAATTGTATTATTGTTAATATTACTAACATACTATATTAGTTGTGAAGACATTAGTAATGTTACCATTTTTCGCAATACCTCTTCATCTTGAACTTTGGCTACGTCTACAGTTTCGGCCGACATGGCCTAAACACTGCAAGTCTGAAAAAAATATTATAATTAATAAAATGGTCTGCATAATTTCAAAATATTCTCTAAAATTTCTTGTATATGTTATATATTCTTTCATAATCTTAGTACGCTCATATCTAACTTGCATATTAATTTAAATTAATGAAATAGAAGAAGTACTTGATGCAATCAACAAATAGTCATTGCAAAGTTCAGTACATTACTACCACTAATTTTAAAGGCTTATGTTTTATTCAGAACCTCGCAATTAGTGGAATAAATTAGTAGTTTCAATTAGCCGTAGAAGTTTGTTTGCCTAATTTTAATGTAAGCATTCAGAACGTCATAATTAGTTGTAGTAATTTTCAATTAGTGGAAGAAGTTAACAAACTTTTGACTTTTCCACTAATTATACTTCAAAATTTGCGAGGAATGTCATTTTGGCCTTTGATTATCACCCGTCAACAAAAATTTTGGTTAGAAATCAAAAGTTTATTGTTTTATAAGCTAAATATTATGCTTTTTCTATGGATACAACCAAAGATATTTAAACTCGGAAGATACAATGATCCATTCATAAAACGCTCTAAAGCTTCATCACACATTGGGTTGCAAAAATCAACGAGTGCAAGAGAGAATGGATAGAGAAGGAAATAGGGGTATCTGCTCGATGGCAACAATGTAGTTGTGTACAAAGATTAGACGTTTGAGGTCAATTTCCATTGGCGTGCCGATCGACCGACAGTATTTTAAGGAAATTAAAATAATTGTTTAATAAATTAAAATAAAATAATAATAAAACTTACATCTTACATATTTGTCGCTTTGTAAAAAAAATAAGTTGAGGGAGGATAGCGAAATGAAATAAAAACTGGCATAATTTTTTATTATAAGATGGCTTTTCACATAAGAATAACGATTAAAAAAAATAATAAGCGTTTTTTACTTTATTTTATTAAAATTTGAAAATTTTATCTAGTTCTCCAAAATAGATAATAATCTATATTGTCACGTACTCCCACATTTTCAGCGCCATGATGTCACACCGGAGAACGGATTTATTAAAATAACATTAGTCTTTATTAATTCTGACCACTATATTTACCATTTACGGCTGATTTATGGTTATTTTTATGAATTTTTAAGCGACGACCAGCTTTGATTGGCGCTGCATTTCACGGGCGCGTGGGTTATTTATAATTTTAACATTTTGATTAGTCAATTAGTTAATTTTAGCGAAATATTATTCCCAACTATATATAACTTAATTAGATTGTTTATCAGTTATATTAAAATATTTATTGAGTTTCGCTATTTTTTAATTAATTTAGAGTATTCTACTGAGATGCTACCACTTAATAGAGACTTGAAAAATGGCTTCAAAATAGTCATTACTGTAAGTTGATTACTCAGAATACTGTGAAGATGATAAATTAATTTGTTAATAGCATTTTACAAATAAATAATTTTGTTAGGGGTACTATAAAGAGAGTATCTCAATATGTGAGGGAGGCTATAATGGCTATTAAATTGTTGGAACTGTAGGATTTAAGAAGATGTTCAAATATTCCTCCATCGACTGCTAGACAATAACCCAGGCGATCATAAAATTCTCTTCTTACATTCGCTAGTCGGTAAACAGAAATTCTATTGCATTCGGCAGAAATAGCATTTTTAACTCGTCTAGATTTGGGTATTTTTTATCCTTGTATATCCTGTTTTTAAATGGCCCCAGAGAAAGAAATCATTTGGCGAAATATCAAGAGACCTTGCTGGCCAATTTACTGTATGATTTAGGCCAATAACGTTTCCGTTAAAACTATTGTCTAAATATTCCCGAACAGCCAGGGTACTATGTGCCGGGCAGATATCCATTTGGTTCCAAACTTCCTGATTTTCCCTAGAGGCATCATGTAAAGCAGGTAAAATATGATTTTCGAGTAGTTCCAAATAATATTCTGCATTTAAATTTCGCGTAAGAAATAATGACCCGATAATATTGTGTCCGAATATCCCTGCCCAAACACTTACTTTCTGTGGATATTGCGTCCTTGTTTCGACAAACCTGTGTTGGTTTTCTTTGTTCCAATATCGATAATTTTGAACATTGGGTTCATTGTTTAAGGTAAACGTGCATTCGTCAGTGAAACATATGTTTTTTAAAAATTCCCTATCCGTGTTTGCTCTTTCCATCATATCAAAACAAAACGCCTGCCGCCGTATTTCATCCCCATCTCGTAGCTCTTGGTGCTTTTCATATTTGAAGGAATAGTATTTATGTCGTTTCAAAATTTGAAACGCTGTAGTGTGATCTATTCCTATTTCACCCTCAAGTTTCCTTGTGCTGATCTTTCCATCGTTCTCTTCCACGCACAATAAAACTTCCAAGTCGGTATCATTTCTTGCATCTTCTCTTTGTTCCTGTCTTGCTTCACATCTGCAGTTATTTATTAGGGTACCTTTGGTCTCAAATCTCTGGATATTCCTTGCGATTGTAGATTTTCCAGGTATCGGTCTATTCGGAGAGAGCAGCAAACATGTCCGACACCTTTTGATAACTATTTCCTTGATAATACATTTAATCATCAATATTTTTTCTTCGGTAGTGTAATTCATGGCTAATATTTTCGATGTAGGTATGAGTTTTTAATAATAATAATAAAGCACTAAATAGATAAATTTCTGAAATGACAACTTCATTTGACAGTTATCTTTTACCTTGACTGGTGCTCATAAGTAAATACAGGGCCATAAGAAAGGAGAAATATTTGAAAAGAAATCGGTGATAACTCGTAAACGGGCTAATCAAAAATATCTAAAGTTATTCTTTTGAATGTGGATTTTAGTGCTCTTCAATAAACCTAAATCGAACTATTCTCTAAAATAATTAGGGAAGCCAATAATTAACCCCATTAAAATTTACATGGGATTTCCTATGTCCCGCTCGACGATGCAACACCCGGTATTTTAAATAATTTCATTTGAAATACTTACCCACATCAGATTATTTTGGACTTATTTGAAAAAGGGTAAAGAGAAAATGTGTGTTTTTTTTTATCGAGATCTACCAGCCCAGAAAATATGTATTTGCACTTATTTAAGACTCACCCTGTATAAATAATTTAGATTTTTTATCAGATATTATATAAATATTTGATAAAAATACAGATAAATTTGATAGAATACAAATTGATAAATCTAATTTTGATATAAAGTAATATTGTATTAAATTCTTCTTTTTAATTCTTTTCTATAAAACAAAACAAACCTAGTAAATATCTATTAAAATTTTCAGAATCTAGTCTTAATTTAACATCCAGTGCTTCATATTTTTGAACATGTGTATTTTTACTTTCAATGTCCCAAAAATAATTTGAAATATCAGCGACGACCCCGCCAAAATCAGAAAAAAAATGGTATATAACTTTCAACCAAAACCTATTTATCCCAATTGGGTAGAAGGCTTATGGCCATATATGGGTGCAAGTTAGCACTGATCTCGATCTTATGTAACCATATTCAATGTTGTCTCTCGCATGTGGTAGCGTTCGGAAACGGTATGTACAGGGTATTGCGTTTTCGGTGAAAGCACCAGCGGAATATAATTTATCTTTGTTTGAAAATAATTGGTTAATATTCAATTTCTTTTTGGTTGGGTCTGTTTGTTTCAAAACAATTCCATATATAATAAAGTAGAAAATTAATTCCCATTTTATTAAAATATGTATACAGTATGTGCCCGGATTGTCTTTACAAGAGGCACAAAACTGTTTTATTATTGACATTTAGAGGATATTGCATTCTTTATAAAAAATGTAGCTTCTTCTAAAATTATTAATCCTGTTTATACTTTCCTAAATTTCCAACAAGAACAATGTTTTGTGTGTAATAAGACGCGTTGAAAGATAAAACGGTAATATCTATTAATTTTTTGGTAAATGTTAAAATCTTTCGAATTGTGGACTTTTTGACAAACAACGTTGCTTTAAACTGAGGCATCCTTAATTAAACACGATTAAAGTGAAAAGAAATAGATGTAGGAAAAACAATAAATACTCCTACTACATATTTTAACAATATTTATTGTGCAAAACTTCCAGAAACCTTATATTGTCTTATTTTTGGATAAACATCCTTCAGCCCTTCAATCGACGAAATTTGACTGTAAAATCCTTCATATTGAAGAAAATCCTTCAATTCTGGCAACACTGTCCACTTGACTAACACCTAACACCACCCTGTAGTTTTCTAAGTTATTAAAAACTTTTTTTTTGGTAAGTACAGATACAGGGTGGCGCCTCTCATACGAAGCGGAGGCTCCAAGAAGAACGAAAAGTTTCTATTGAAATGAAATTTTGTGATTACCTGTAGATATTCTGTGCCTGTAGGCTAATTTGGAGCATTTCTTAAAAATATAGAGTTCTACAGGGTATCGCCAAAAAAAGTTACACATTAAAGTTTTGTTTTTGTAATGGAACACCCTATATATTAATCCATTTTCGGATTCTATGAGAAAAATAAAGATAAGTTCCATAGAGAAATATATGACTAAAATGCAAAGTTTTTAACATATTTAACATTTTCAAAAAATAAAGAATACTTTTAAACTGGAATTTTCCCGGTATAGCCTAATATGTAGTTAAAATAACTAATATACTTTAATCAAATTAAAACTTGACCCAAAAAGTTATACAGGGTGAGACAAAATTAATATTGAACTTTGGTCATCTTTAAAAGCAAGTTACTCTCTTATTTTAAATGGAACACCCAGTATATTATTCCGATATTCAATCGTGCATTAATGTCTCTTCAAAATACTACTAAGGTTGCCTACCCATCCAACAAAGATTTTTCTATTTAGATATTTTCATTTTTATGATTTAGTGTCAGTAGATTTACTTTGTTGGTAGTTTGTATTTTTCATTAGGTAAATATGGCTGTGTGTTCATGAATAGTTAACTAAATTAAAATTAGCAAGAGTGTAAACATCTCTCAACGTGATTGATTTTTTAAATAAAACTTTTTTTGCCTTTTTTCACATGAATTTCTCTATTTTCTTTTATTTAATTTACAAAATAAATTTAGAAATAATACATATATTTGTATATTTATGTGTTTATAAATAAATATCTGATAAAATAGTAGCAAAAATTGTATAAACTTACTTATATTTTATTAGAAAAATATTTTAATAAAATAAAATATGTCGATTCTGACTCAACATATTTCTGTAGGCGATCGAGAACTGGTTTATCCAAGAGAAAAATATGGTAAGATCGAAAAATGGGCGATCTGCGAGGTGTTTGTTTATTGCAATGAGACAAATAATAAAAATAATCTTAAATCGTAAAAGTCCTAATAAATTGTACCTATTTTTAAACATCTAATTAAATAATTTCATTACTCGTTTTACTGTTATACCGCTAGTACGAAAAAGTTCACAAGCCTTCGATAGCTCAGTTGGTAGAGCGGTGGACTGTAGCGGAATCAAAAAGTAGACATCCATAGGTCGCTGGTTCAAATCCGGCTCGAAGGAAAACTTTTTTATTTAATTTTGACAATTCCGTCATTTTTTTTTTAATTTACAAATTAATTTGTAATAGTTATAGATGGGTCGGTCTAAGAAAAAAACGAAAAATAATGTTAGGAAGCGCAGTTCCAAAGAGTCGAAGGATGTGATAAATTTGAAGAAATCTGGTGATCAAATTATAGTTGATAAGAAACAATTAATGTGCAGAAGATATGAAAAATTCCACGATAATTTTTTAACTTATGATGAAATAAATGAATTTTTGGTTAAAACTAAAAAGAGTAGTTGTGGAAAAGTTGAATTGGTTGAGATTGGAAAATCAACCCAAGGTAAGTTACAAACAGTTATTTTTTTCTTAAATAAATGGTACTAACCTAGTCAGTGTCTATGGGAGAATCTTGAGACGGACCATATTTCTCAATTTCTCCAATTTTAGTCTTTGGAGACTAAACACAACATTTATTCATACAAAACATCTATACCCAACTTATTGTAATTCTATGATTCAGAAAAAGTATAAATATTTATATAAATGTCAACCTAATACATATATATAATTATGTGTCAGTTTTCAAGACTTTTTGTAATGTTATTAAAGGTGGGTTTACATTGTTTCCACTAATAATTTTTTATTCCATAATTTTATCTATTTTTCATAGCTTTTTTTAACAATATATTTCGAGATATTTAATGAGAGATATTTCTAAACTTGTTTATACAGGGTGAGTCTTAAATAAGTGCAAATATTTTTACCGGTAGTATATTTCAACCCCAGAAAAAAATCTTTGAAAAATTTGGAATATTTTGAAAACATTTTTTTAAACTTCTAATAATTAAAAAACATAATATCTTCATAACATGGCAATATAGGTAGTAGATTAAATTTACAAAAAATAATTTGGGCTTATTTGAGAAACGGTAAAGAGAAAATATAATTCTTTTATCGAGATCAACCAAACCCTGAAAATATTTGCACTTATTTGACACTCACCCTGTATAACTTCTTGTTTATATTAAACTACAAAACTACAATAAGTCAGAGAATTTGATTATATCGTTGATTGAAAGAATTCTTGAATCAACGATTATACTCTTTGTGGAGGCTTCTCTACTATAATAATCTTGAACAATAAATAATTATACAAAAAATTATATTAAATTTTTGAAAATTTATGAAAACTAATTTTTTATTGTTTTTTTTTATTTGAACCCATTTTGCTTGACTAGTTTTTGAACACTTGATTGTGGTATATATTTTAAAATGTTTTGTGAAATACAATATATTTTCTTAGACTAATTGACAGTCTTTAATTTTGAACTCACTGATCACACAATGTCAAAAAATGATATATGATATGTCATTCTATTCAGAATGTCATTTTCTATCGAATAAAGTAAAAAAATACCGAGGGTGCCATTTAAAAATCAAAAGTTGTGGTCATTTCCGGTGAAACAGGAAGTGACCGAAAACAGTTGAATACGTCAATCAATTCTAGCGATATCTAATTTATGTCATATAGTAACATACAAAATATCGTTTTTAACTGAAAAAGTAAAAAAGTTACAGAGGTGAGCCACGTTTGAACGCACCCGGTATATAGAGATGCTTAAAAAGTTATGTTAATTAAGGAAAAATTGTGATCAATTAAAAGTTTACAAAGAAATTTGATTTAGAAAATAGTCCAATTTTTCTCATTACTCCTCGTTGCAGGGTTTAGGAATATGATTGCTACGCCCGATAAAGGAATTATTTATAATAAAATAAACAACAGGGTGTACCTATTTTAGGTAGACCAATTTTCATGGTTATTATTTCCAGTGACTCGTGCATCACCAACTCTAACGAACCCAAGATGGGTGCCTTCATCCAGGCTGGACTAAATGGGGAAAATACAGTTGCTGTGTCTAACGCACTGTACCTAATTGACTACATGGCAAAAAATCCAAATTATGTTAAAATAATGGACTATTACATCGTGCCATGTGCCAACCCTGATTCCTACAACAATTTTGTACTAAGGGAAAATTTGAAATTTAACAAACCGAAAAGTAATCTCAAAAAGACCCCTAATTGTGGTAATGGGACTAATAAAAAAGAAACAGGAATATCTGGATCGAAATCTAAAGCCAGTTCAGGACCAAAATCAGAAAAGAATGACGAGAAAAAGATTAGCCCTCCACCAATAAATCTAAATTTAAATTTCCCGGTTTTATTGGGCATTAATGACATGAGAAACATTGAAACGAAGGATTTTTTAGGTAACGTATTTTCTCTAAAACTTTTATAATACAATTAACTTAAAGGTAGCTTAGTATTGACAAATTATCTATAAACCGTATTACGATTACAATTACTGCAAATGAATAACTCCAGATCATAGACTTATTTTGCTACCACTATCTATAACCTTTTAAAATTTGTAGGCAATCTGGATAGATATATCCAGATTATTTCTTACCTATTTACTTCCTATATACTCATACATTAGTCTAGAATTATATGAATTTACCACTATGTATAATCTTTCCAATTTGTAGACACTAGTCTATCTAACATGTTTTATTATACAGGGCGAGTCTTAAACAAGTGCAAATATTTTCAGGGCTGGTTTGGTTCCAAAAGTCCAAAATAAACGAGTTATTTTACTTTGAAAATTTCCAAAAAATTATTTTTTGCTTAAATTTTGAGAACCACTTTTCTTTCTTGTAAATTTAGTCTACTACCTATCTGTCCATATTATCAAAACATTATTCTTTTTAACTAAAAACTAAAAAAAAAATCCAAAATTTCAATTTTGTTTTCACGAAAAAAATCTCATAATGGTATTTCTGGGGTCGAAATATACTACCCCTAATTGGCACTTATTTAAGACTAACCCTGTATATTCAGATGGTTTCTTCAGCTATAAACCTATATATTAATAAATTACCTATGTAAAAAATTATAAATTTACATAAATTTTAAGAGCCACTAGATTTTTTCGTTTTTTTTGTTTCTCTAAATTTAATCTATTACCAATGTTGCCATATTATCAAGATATTATATTTTTTAACCCGAAATTAAAAAAAAAATCCTAAAATTTTTCGAAAAATACAAAATTTCAAAAAAAGTTTCCAGTCCTAAAAATATATATTACCCCTAAAAATATATGCACTTATTCTTTAAGACTAACCCTGTATACAGTATGGCTTAATGTTTCGAAAAAGCTCCATTTTTTTAAACATGCTAGTAATAATTGTAGCATACATTCTCAAAAAAATTGATAGATATACAAGGTGACTGAAGTATATTATTACTCCAAAATGTTATTTTTTTTAAATGCAATAGGTGTTCAAGTGAAAAGCACCAATAGAAAAACTGATATGGTAATTTTTCACTACACTGGGTCACCTTGTATAAAATGAATGCGTAATTAAATTAAAATTTTTGGTTCAGTTGCAATATTTTTAGCAGATTACTTAAGGTTAGAATAAAATTAAATTATGCTCTTTATTCTAATAAGAGCATTGAATGTTCTAAATCTTCCATATGAGGCGTCAAGTTGCAAAACCGGCCTTATCCGTTTAAAAAAATGGCCTAATGACATATATTAATAGTGGATCCTGAAATCTACATAAACATAATCCCAAACTGCACTAAAAGTCGCCCATTCCTATATAAAATTCACTACAAATTACGTTACTGCAGCAAAATCCGGCTTTTTATACAAGTATAATATTACTACTGACGTCTTTTCAAATTCTTATTTAATTTTAATAAAATGGTATATTTAGTAAATTAAGTTAGGATGCAAATACCTTATGATCGAAAAAAACGGCGTCCAGTTGGCTAGGAAATGACGATCGATGACATTTCCCATAAAAATTTACTACTTTATAATATTATATATTTACTACTTTATATAAAATGACAGCGTTCTTCATTTTATAGCCAATATGCATCATACTGCAACAAAACCCGCCTTATTTGAATTATTTTTGTGTTTTATCTGTTTAACAATTAAATATCTATTAATTTTCATTTTTAGAAAAACGAGATAGAAAACAATGATTCCACTCAATGGACACGTTTTTTGTAAATTAACGCTTCAGACATTTGCTAAAACAGTTTTTGCTTATTATCGCGAAACAACGTTTGTGGGATAAGACGGGTTTTGCAACTTCATTCGTCGCCTCATATCATCTCATACTAATTCACGTTTATTGATATTTAAAAAATGTTACAGAAAAGATTAAGAAATGGAAAGAAACCTATCTCAACTCCTCCCCAGAAGTTTACTCCCTCCTAAAAACAATCCACACCTACCAATTTACTATCAGACTATTAATATCCCTTCAAGAAGGAGGCGAGACTATATGCTATCCCTACGGATTTTGCTCAGCTATAGACAGACACACCTCCGACCTTAGTGACGTAGCGAAAAAGGGCAAAAGCGTCATCTGTGGTCGAAACTTTGCCAGCGGTTCCATCTACGACTTGCACGGATTGACTTATGGAAGCCTGATCGATTTTTTGAAAATGGACAAGTTTCCCGGGAAGTATGTGTACGTCATGCAGGTTCATAAGAGATGTCCTCGATACAACCCCAGGGCGGGGCTGAGGCAACTGTTGAAATACGGAGAGCAAATAACGAATTGTATAAAGATTATGTCGGGTTGTGTGTACAAGTTTTATACGAATATGACCGGGAACAAGAATATCGAACTTAATAATATCAAGTTTAATAAAAAGTTTAGATAAAGTTTTAAAAAAATCAAATTGTGTTTTATTGTATTACTAGGTGACCAGGCTAACTTCGTACCGCCTAACAGTAAAGTAAAGTAGGGTTGCCAACTTGCAAAATAAAAAATAGAGGACAAGAGGGTAAAAAGAGGCACAGGCGAAACATTTTTTGAAACCTCGCCCAAATATATATATATATATAAAATAAAACAAAATATTTTCGGAAGTAATTACCCAAGTGCATCAAAATTACCGATAATTTTTCATGAAAGCATGTTGTCAATAAAAACAGCATTCGTTTATATTCATATTTTGCCATAAGAGCCCGACTACGAAGGAGGAGGGCTCTTCCAAGCAGTGGCGCATCTAGAGATTGAGTCTGGGAGGGGTAGGGTGAATATTCAAAAAAGTACTAAATTTGAATTAAATTTTTATTGGAAGGTATTGTAACTGTGGAAAAAATCTACTTGGATTGGTTTGGATATTCTGTTTTAATTTGTATTATTAACTGTTTTGTAACAATTTTATTTTATACCAAATTTCATCTTATTAATTAATTTCTTTCTGGGAGGGGTATTACTCCCATTACCCCTCCCGTATATGCGCCCCTGTATAGGGCTTGTTTCTCTCTACAATTTCCTGTTTCACAATGTACCGTTTGTGTCCGGGAAGGGATCATAGTTTCATAGTTGTCGATTTTCGAAAGAAATCAGTACATGTATATTATTTCCTATATCTTTCATTTCATTGATTTTATCGAAAGCACTGTTCATTAAAATGTTGTATCCTATGTTAAAGGGCTTGTTTCTCTCTACAATTTCCTGTCTCACAATGTACCGTTTGTGTCCGGGAAGGGTTCATAGTTTCATAGTTGTCGGTTTTCGAAAGAAATCAGTACATGTATATTATTTCGTATATTCTTATTATATTGATTTTATGGACAGCATTGTTCATTAAAATGTTGTATCCTATGTTATAGGGCTTGTTTCTCTCTACAATTTCCTGTCTCACAATGTACCGTTTGTGTCCGGGAAGGGATCATAGTTTCATAGTTGTCGATTTTCGAAAGAAATCAGTACATGTATATTATTTCCTATATGTTTCATTTTATTGATTTTATCGAAAGCACTGTTCATTAAAATGTTGTATCTTATGTTATAGGGCTTGTTTCTCTCTACAATTTCCTGTCTCACAATGTACCGTTTGTGTCCGGGGAGGGATCATAGTTTCATAGTTGTCGATTTTCTTTTCTTTGAGAAAGTTACCATTGCATTTATTTATTTATTTCTTGACATTGTCATTCGTTTTGAGACTTTAGTTTTCTATTACGAGTTTTTGTTTTAAATAAATAGTGTTGAGATACTTTGAGCTTGAAAGTGTTTACTAGCAGACCTCGCAGTCGAACATTGTTCTTTTTAGAAACTCTTTTAGTGCGAAGTGGACAAGATAGCTTAATAGCCGTAAAAAAACTCATCGCAACTTTATTAGAATATTTTGAACGAGAAAGCGGTAGTAATGGCCCTTTATGTCCCGTAAGTGCTGTTAAGCAGGGGAGTTTTGTTGATGTAAATCATAACTGGTTATATATTTATAATTAATTTATTTTTGTTTCCTAAAATATTTTGATTAAAAAAAATATATAAAAGTGGGCAATGCTGTGCCGGTTAAGCTTAATCACGTGACTAAAAGTTTATTTGGTATGAATCTAGATCTACCATCTCTGAAAATATTTGCACTTATTTAAGACTCACTCTGTATATTATTCAGAACATGCTGTTAGGAACGCCCCTGAATAGAGAACCCACCCTGTTAACTTGTTAACGACTTTTTTAACAAACATTAGGGTATAAATACCAACAGGTGGAGCCCTTGAGAATGTGAACTAGAGATCTGCACGGGCCGGGTAGCCCGAACGGGCCTCAAGCCAGGCCCGGCCCGAACACGGGCCACGGGCCGGGCCGGTTTCGCACTGTCAATAGGGGTCGGGCCTCGGGCCGGGCCGGTTCCGCACTTTAAATAAACACAACTTTGCTTCTGTACATGTTTTTGAGACACCCTGTATTATAATAGGCGTTTTTAGACTATGTTTTTTGTGTGAAATTGATAGATTGTCTGGAATCGACAAAGAACTGCTTGGAATAATTGTAATTGAAAGGATTTTTGTAATTTTATTTTGATCATTTTATTTTAATGGTTCGGGCCGGGCCGGACTAGTTTAAGTTTTAACTTTCCACAAACCGGGCCGGACTTACAAAACCTACTTCTCTTCTCGGGCCGGGCCGGGTCGGGCTACAAAAAACCGGCCCGTGCAGGTCTCTAATGTGAACACCCCTCTTTAAAAAATCAAAATTGGCTTATTTCACAATGCGTTTATTCATTATGCAGGAATTTAGATGGTATATTTGTAAAACTATCTTATTAATCATATTGAATATAAGTACTTGTATTCAATGTCTATAGGACATGTTTATATGGAGATTACGGTTAAATCAACTTTTTCAATTTTTTGTAACTTTTTAACAAGCTCAACGACAAGGTAACTGCATGTAAAATCACTGCAATTTCTACAGTTTACCGTAATTCGGGGACAAATAACATTTTATTCAAATCAACTTTGTTAACAAACACTGTTATACATAAAAAAAGTCTGTCTTACGTTATTTCCCAAGAAAGCAAGTTTTGAATAAATCACTATGACTTTGTATATGAAATTACATTCAAAATAATTTAAATATATTCAATATTTCAAACATATTCTTCTTTTATACGAAAAATAAACCAATACACATTAGCTTAGGTCACCTAAAATTGACAAATTCTGAGTTTTAAATCTGAAAAATATATTGATAATAAGATAAAAATTATTATTATAAATAATTATTGATGAAATCTGATTCATGTATGTTTCTTTGATAAAAACTTAATACAATTTTAAACAAAGATCAAAAGAATTGCTCATGTTTAAAACATGTTTTAAACCTATTATTTAAAACAATTTTTTTAAACATAAAAACTTAAATACCAAGAATCTGTGGTTGGTTTACAAGCTATTTAACGGATGGGTGAAACTATCAGGAAATACAGAAACAATCAGTATTACAATATTTACTTGTACACAAAAATGAAGGTGACTGATGGTCTAATTACGTCATTTTCTATTTTCAATGAATGATATTATATTTTATTGTCCAAGTGTATGAACATAATATATAACTTATGTACGAAATTATAAATATAGAGGTATGGATATGTTTCTTGTTAGAATATATATCTAAGTGGGTGTTACTTGGAAAATTCGATGTAAATATAGCAAATTAAATATTAGTGATGGACATTTGAAAACCAAAGTGTCAATAGGTAATAAGAGGCCGCGTTGATGCATGGATGGCAAAATAATATTAAGGTTACTTAATTAAAATCACATAGATTTTACATAGATAAAAAAGTTTTATGGACAAATAATATCAAGTAAACAATAATTCTAGGAATAATGGGTGATAAAAATAGTCGTAATATCCACGAGCATTAGAAATTTATACTTAACTTTGTTATAAAAGATAAAAGTAACTAATTATCTAGCTATAAAACAACAAAATAAAACACTACTTCATCACAATAGAACAAACCGACCAAACGTTGAGCACTTTTTGTCGTTGAGTTTTGCTAACTATGTTTGCATTATCCGATAATTAAATGAACTATGCATAGTCTGTCCAATGAGGGAATACATGACAGTGACACTTGTAGTCTGTCATTTTAATTTACAGGTAAGTTGAATTTTCTGTCATTTTTTGAATGTCGTCTGTATGCAATGCGTTCTTTCCAGACATGCTGGAGAGACTTTTACCTACTTTTCATGATGATTAACTGTTTGATAGAACACTTTGGAGAAATGTATATGCAACAAATATTATTGGCATTGAATGTACTCGTATATGCAACAAACAATATATTTGGCTTTTGTAATTTTTATATTACAAAAGCCAAATTTTACATTACATTTTGTTAGGTTTGGTTATTTATGTTTCTTGGCCAGATGGAGTTGTTAATTATATTTGCCAGTATCAATTTTACTGCTAAAAGTAAAATTGCTTCTAATAATTTATAGCTACTAAAACATTATGAGAAATAAATTTAATATATGTACATCGTGTTATTTTCAGTTTTTGCTTATTTTTGTAACAAGATTAATGTTAGTTTTTTCTTTTTCTAACATTCGTCATTTATCAAATGATTTGTAAGAACTGTTTTTAATTGGTTCTGTTTTAAGCTTTTTTAGATTTAAGTTTTACATAGATATACATAACATATTGAATTTTTTGTAAAAATTTCAAAAATGTTTTAAAAAGACTATAAAAACCATTTTTATAACCGACAATTTTAAACAGTGGGCATGTGTTACTACCGGCTTTGTACATTATTTTATAGTTTTTTTTTCTATTTAGTAAACGTATTACAGAATGGTCGTAAATCAAGAAATAAAACTTTAGTACTTTATGCAAAATCATGTATTTATATTATAATGGAATCAGAAATGTTGGAAATGACACCTACAGATAAATTTAATTATTTATTATCACGATTTGTTTGAAATGAAGGATAATAATATAGTAACAAGTTTTTATCATTTTTTGCAAAATTAAATTAGGGCTTTTAATCTTAATATTTTCATAATTTTTTATTAGTTGCTTTATAGAGAAGTTTAAGACAAACTTTATTTTTTTTTAAAAAAAGGATAAAGCATTTTTTTTTTCGAAAAAGAGCATACATATGATTGATGCTATGTATTTGTCTATTTACTCAATAAAAAGTAATATGAAATAATAGGGGTAAGTCTTACAAGTATACAGGATGAGTCTTATATAAGTGCAAACCCATAAACACGTCTATGAATAATTATAATAATAATAGCTCCCGTATATAGCGTTTAACGCCTTTGGAGTAGCAAGGTACAGCTTGCCATACTAGAGCCGTTTGGTATACAAGGAAGGTAAAGTGGCTAGCATTACGCTTCAACCGCCTATTATTACCTCAGGATTGTGAATCCCGAGTACTCATTTAAGGCTGAGTCGACCTAGGTACCCAAACTATTTTTATTTTAATAAAAATAGTCGGCTGATGCAATGCCGGGTGTGGGATTCGAACCCACTACCTTGAGATTGGTAGACGAGAGCCTGTACCTCTACGCCACCGGGCACCTAACAAACAAACCACAAAACACAAAAAAATCCATTTTGAGAAAAACTACACCACAAAAAAAGATCCATTTTGAAAAAAATTGTGATTTTTTTACTTTTCTTTAAAAAACATGATATTTTGATAATATGGCAACTGGCAACATAGGTAGTATTTTAAATTTTCAAGAAAGAACACACTGTATAAAGATCCAGTGCTTCTTAAGATTTAAGGAAAAAAACATTTTTGTTTTTTAATTTTTAAATTAAAATAACTCAGTAATTTTGGAGTTATTTGGAAAACGGCAAAGAGAAAATATGTTTCTTTTATCGAGATCTATCAGCCCTGTAAAAATATTTGCACTTATTTAAGACCCAACCCAACCCTTGGTCCCACAAAAAAAATTAAAAATTTTGTATTTAAGTATTTTTTAATTTTTAGTTAAAGAAATATCTTGATAATATAATAACATAGGTAGTAGATTAAACTTAGAGGAGCAAAAAAATCCATTTATTCACAAAATTTAAGCAAAAAATATTTTTTTTAAATTAAAAAAAGTAAAATAACTAGGCTATTTTGGATTTATTTAAAAAAACGACAAAGAGAAAATATGATTCTTGTATCGAAACCTACCAGCCCTGAAAATACGTGCACTTATTTAAGACTCACCCTGTATAAATTCAAAGTGGGAGAAAAATCGAAAAAAAAATGAAAAAACCCAAAAAAAAAATTCTACACAGTAAAACAAGTGTGAAATTATTTTTGTACCTAAATATTACGGTAAAATTAGTTAAAAATTATTAGTTTAAAACAAAAAAGTCAAAAAATCACAAATACACTAAGCAAAAATGAAGTTCAGTGGCAACGAAAATCGATTAAAAAATCAGAGTAATGTTTTGAATGATGATGTCTTTTGTTATTGTTTATATTTGCACGAAGGGTTGTTGCGAACAATGCGAATTCGGTTTGTCAGGCAAAAAAAATGTTTTTTTCTTAATTTTCAAACTAAAATCAGTGAAAACAAAAAAGTCAAAAAATCACAAATACGCTAAGCGAAAACGAAGATCAATGAAAAAAAATCGATTAAAAAATCAGAGCAATGTTTTGTAAGATGTCTCTTGTTATTGTTTATATTTGCACGAAGGGTTGTTGCGAACTCGGTTTGTCAAGGTAGGACAATTTAAGCAAGAAAAATTTTTTTCTTTCTTAATTTTCAAAGTAAAATAACTTCTCTATTTTGGACTAATGTTATAATATTTGTACCTAATAATATGATTGAAAAAAATATTAACCCTTACCTTTAATCACAAATCTAGAATCTTCTTAGTTTAAAACAAAAAAGTCAAAAATCACAAATACACTAAGCAAAAACGAAGATCTATGGCAACAAAAATCGATTAAAAAATCAGAGTAATGTTTTGAAATATTATGTCTCTTGTTATTGTTTATATTCGCTCGAAGGGTTGTCGCGAACTCGGTTTGTCAGGCAAGGCCAATCTCGTTTATTCGAAAGCCGATGGTCGACTGGGACGATATCGCCGGTAGTCTGACCACGACGCTGTATCCCATATGGACCAATTCTTAACACCTCCATGGTAGTCGCCGGTGCGTCATAACATTATATTTAGAGTGCACAAAGTGTTGAAGAAAGAAGAAATGATGTGGGCGGTGCGCTTCTAGGTGGTTGACGGGTGTTTTTCTTTGAGCTGATCTTGATTCGATTTTTGGGAAGATTGTTTTTTTTACTAGACTCCGCGTGATCATGGTTAATTTGATTTATAATAATTAGCAGTCAATGAAATAGCAGTTATCAAGTGTTAATTTGAATTTCAGTTGCCGATTGTTCAAGAGATTGGGCTTAAGAAAATAATAAACTTGAGATATATTTAAATTCTAGAACGACCTACACACATCCAACTTGGTTGACTCAACGGTCGAGCCAACGAAATATAATATTATTATCCCTACACTTAGTTCACTCTGTAACTTGTAACAGTGGTCTAACTTGCAAAACTTGTAAAGGTACTTGGTGTCGCAAAGGACAGTGATAGAATACTCTAGTTAGTATAGAGCTTTAAATATATTGGGTAAGCGTAGCAATGTTATGTTATCCTGGGTACTTTCTTCTAGGAGATGCGAGACCTTGTCCGTTGGAGGGGAAGCTTCTAGTCAGGTATTAGGGTGAATCCTCTCTGGCAATTTGGCTGTGTCTAAGGAGCATCTCATTGTCTTATCCCTGGCTGTAGTGTCGTGGCCAGGGAATTGCAGCAAGACGTATAATGATGCCGGATGGGATTACCCTGTCCGTCATACCAGGCATCCTCTACTGTCTGTAGTCATGTATTACAGGCAGATGGTGTAGGTGGCTCTTAGCTTAACCGCCTGAACCAAGAAGTGATCACCACAACCACACCAAAAATCGAAATCCTATGATGGCGGCACCAGGTCAAAGGGATGCGTGGCTAGATAGAAGACTTATTCTCGTCTCCCTTACTTCTACATGCGGGGCTGTGTAGAAATGGACTGATTAACCCTTGCGGTATCTTCTTCTTCTTATCACGCTCTCTCCTGTGGAAGGTTGGCCAACCAAATGGCTATTGTGGCTCTGGAAACTGCAGCCCGGAAGATTTCCGCAGACGAGCGTTCAAACTATCTCCTTAAATGTTTTAGCCATTAGTTCTGGCGTCTTCCTACTGATCTGTTCCCTTGCACTTTGCCCTCTATTATGTGGCGCAGTATTTCGTATCTACCACCTCTCATCACATGACCCAGGTATTGCATCTTTCTTTCCTTGATGGTGTTCAGTATCTCTTTTTGTTTCTGCATGCGCTGGAGTACTTCATCGTTGGTGATCCTTTGTACCCATGAGATTCGCAGCATTTGAAGGCTTCTATTCTCTTTTCGGTGTGTGAATCCAGTGTCCAGCTCTCACATCCGTAGAGTAACACAGAGAAGACGTAGCATCTGGCCATTCGAGTTCTGAGTTCCGCACTGAGGTCTCACCCTTGTGGTATAATTGACCTCAAATCCAAGGAAGCAATAGAGAAAGAGGGATATATCTTCTACTATAGACTCGGGACAACATGAGTATCAGGTCTAAGGAGGGACCAAGTTAAAGTGGTGCAGAAAATGGAGACAGATACAGCCTCCACTTCACGGGTACCTCAGCCGGAGACAAGCTCCCTCGACTGTGAATGACGTAGGAGGTAGATGCTTACTCCTCGAAGGATGAACATCTGTTGTCAGAGGAGAATGGAAAATACCCTGTTCCCTTTACAACAGAAAGATCCCATGTATGATGAGTTATAGACTGTATGATCAAATATAACTCAAGGAAGGGGGACACAATACATCTTTAAGATCGATTAACTCCCCCTCTTACTCATTCTACATTCTATCCTGGGTATCCGGGCTCGAGAATAACAAGGGTAACGAAAAGGCAGATGAAATGGTCAAACAAGACTCATCAATGCCATTCATAGGCCCAGAATCGCAAATGTGCAATTCATATTCACGAGCCCTATATAAACATTTCAGTCTTCAAGTTATTAGATTTTTTAAAAGAGATAGGACTGGAAAATGTAAATTAGAAGCCAGAAAAATGCAAGTAATATATAAATTTGTCTCTTTCATCGAAACACTTCGACCGTGTCATCTCGCCTTTAAGTTTAGACAAATGTTCTACTACGAATTGTTTTATTAGATTGTCCTGATAATTTCTCTACCATTCTAAAGATTTCTTTCGCCACCAACTGTACTGACATAAGTTGGCAAGGTAAATTTACTACATAGTTGAAGCTCCTATTATAATTATTATGCTGAAAACTCCACTAGACTGAATTTACCTAATAAATTTATCTACTTTCTATTTTATTTGACTCTATTCCTTATTGAAATATTCCAGATATTTTAAATAACGGCGGGATGCATAAATTTAACGCACCCAATATCAGTTTTTTAGAAGTAACAACAAACTTAAAAATTATGTAATGAACCGAACGAATTTACCAACATGTAGGTATAATCTATTATTAAATATGAGTGGTGTGTATTGGAAGGTCATTTATCGGTTGTTCAGGAAATTGTCGCGATTGTTTGTCTTGTTTACGTGGTCAAGTCCTCAGGTCAAACCAATTTTATAATTATCTAACTTTTCGGCAGATATAGAAATTTTTGAAGATATTTATTTGCCAGTTACCTCTGTTTAGATAGGTACTATGTGTATTTTATTGAATATCGAGTTTATTAACTATAATTTGCCATAGATATTTAATAAAATCTAAATTTATATTATATTTTTTATAACTTTCAAACATAACCACTGATTGAGGAGTGTACAGGGTGTCCCAATATTCAGTGGAGAGCTAGTACCTATTTTTGAAATAAAAATAAGTTCATTGGAAACAATTTAGCTCTATACTAAAGTGCTTCGTTTGTCTGCTAGAGGACATAAAACTTTTTTTTAAGAAAACAGATTTTTTAAGATTTTAAGTGCTTTAACGTTCATCATCATCATCATCATCATCAACCAGCCACTAAAGTCCAGTGCTAGACGTAGGCCTACCTCGTTTGCTTCCATAACTCCCTATCTTGAGCTATTTGCATCCAGTTACTGTGGATACGCCTTAAGTCGCCATGCCATCTGGTTGGAGGACGGCCTCTGCTCCTGAATGCATCATGTCTTGGTCTCCATTCTATTATTTTCTTCGTGCTTCGGTCATCGTTTAGCCCCCATCTTTAGCTCTGCCCTATTCTATTTCAAAGTAGTTTATCTATTTTTTACAATTCTATTTTTAGTAGTCTCCCCCCCGTACTTCGATATTCGGTACTTTGTCTCTCAGAGATAGCCCCAACCACCGCTCTTGCGTTATTCTCATTTTGCTTACATTTCTCTTGGTTAATGTTAGTGTCTCTGCAGCATTTGTTAGAACAGGTAGTACACATTGGACCTTTCTCTTAAAATATATCGGAAGTGCCCCTTTGAAAATGAATTTCAATCGTCCATAGGCGGCCCAAATCAGTCCTATTCGTCTCTTAAGCTCGCAAGTTTGGTTATCGCGGCTTATACGTATTTCATGTCCCAAGTACCTACTTGTAAGCAGTTGTTTCTTCTATTTGATATTGATTAATATGGATATATTCCGCCGGCAATTTCTAGGTTTGTTATCACTTGGGTTTTTGAGATATTGATTTTTAGTCCCATTTGTTCAGAGGTTGCATTCAATTTTTGTAACATTTCTTGCGCTTTAAACGGCCCAGCTACGTCGAAACACCGGTTTCATTAGAACACCGAAGTTAAGCGACGTAAGGCGATACTAGTGGATGGACGGATGACCGATTCGAAACTCTGTATCGTGCTGTTGTCCAATAAAGGCAAGTGTAAAAATCTATTGACACATACTGCTCATTCACGCCGGTTCGAGGCCGGATGAGATCGGATAGCTCGTGAGTAAGAGTTGATTTAGACACTTGCCAAGTCGGTAGGCCATTGACCATGATATGACCGAGGACCGCGGTTCGGATTCCGCGTAAATAAAGTATGCCCCGTCCAGATTAGCCCTGGCAGCAAAAAGGAGACGTTAACTGAAATCTTTACTCTACTTTTACGCAATCAGATATCAAGACAATGTCATCAGCAAATCGCAGGTGGTACAAGTTTTCGCCATTTATATTTATACCCAATTCATTCCATTCTACCTGTTTGCACACATTTTAACATTGAGTTTCACAAAAATCAAGAAAAGGTACGGGAAGAGTGAAAAATACCCCCACCCCCACATACATTTTAGTATAAATATTTTTCAACTCAACCGACAATTTTTTTTTTTTCGTAAAATGGTCCATCTAGTTTTTGCGAAGGTAGCAATGTTAGTTATTTTAAAATTTCTTTTATTTATATTTATCCTCGTGAAAGGGGCAATTGTATTCCTCAATATAACCTTATTTGTTATTATCTATATTTGGAGTATTTTGTTAATTACAAAAATATACAAACAATGTAATAAAATATTTTTTTTACCTAATTGGGAGTATATATAAAATAAATGTATTTTATGGTAAAATTTATTTAACCCTAATGATCCTGTTAAACCTAAGTAACACTGCAATATAATTATAAGTCTCCATATCAATCACTTAAGATCACAGCTAATTTAATTCGAAATATGTACTCCTAAAAGGCTCAATGCTAATTATCTTTCATCACAACAAAATTCCTTTTTGTTTATAAATATTTATCCCCAATTATAGGCAAACAACCGTGCCTAGAGATCACCACGAATAAAAACGTTGTTACTCTATATACTTTCTTATTTCACTTCGCAATCGTTACTCTCGAAACAATCTCTTTGCAGTTGATGTGATCATCATCGATATTATAAGTACTGGATAGCGTACATTAATAGCACACTTACATATAAAATGAAGCGCTGAAGTGTGACAGATTAGCAAGTTCATGGAAGGAAAACTTTTAGTAACTAACAAGAAATTAACTTCCTCAGAAGATCGGCAAAAAAATCAAAATTGGAAAAATGCGAAATTAAAAAAAAGGAGAATAACAAAGAAAGAGAT